CACTAGATAATAACTTCAAAGTGAGAAATTCTCATGGCTTATTACGAAGTAACTATTTCGAAACTGTCACTCCTCAAAACTACTCTTAAGGTTTCGGAACTTTGGATATATTATTACGGTAACGCTTACCACCCCAAGAAGGCTTCACAGTTGCAATTACTCTATGGTCACCAATTAGGTTTCTACGACGTTGTCGTTACTTGATCGATCACCTAATAATTTAGTCAATTCTTGGTGATATTTCAAGTAACATATTGGTAATTCCTACTCAAACAATTCCTTCATAGTTGAAACAACTTTTCGGTAATTATATTCAGTTGAAGTTACCAATACATAGGTTATCATAACTGACGAGTTCCAAAAGTAACTTTCTGATTCATTTTCGATTGGAAGCCATATTGATTGATGTGATAACCATTTGAACAGGAAATAATTTTGGTTTTTCTTGTTGATAAACATCATTTTATGAAGAATAATAGCATTCGTTCGATCACAAATTGTATAATAATGGAAATTAACATGATTTACGATGATTTTTGAAAAATAGCCGAATGAAATAAAACCATATTTTTGATGAAATGAGCCGTATTTTGTGGGCGCATCTTGAATTTCGAGGCAAAATCATCACATTTATCGAAAAACTGAATGTTGTTCGAATTTTTCAAGTTCGAGTATCAATTATTTCGCGTGTTTGTCCTTGTATTATTTATTGAATGGTTAGGCATATTGGACTTGTTCATTTTTCGTGAATGTGAACTTCATGGATGAAATGAAGAATAATAAAGAGAGAAAATAATATTTTTATGAAGTTGAAAAGAAATAGAAAGTCAGGTAGGAAAATTTACTACATCTTTACGTAATTTCGACGTCGACGGGTCGTAAGCATTACGTAATTGTGTGAGTTCCCGCTACGTCGGCAAACCGTAATAATTACTCGTGATTTGTTCCCCATTTTGGTCGTAAATACGTAGTAACGACGTAATTATAACGTAACCGCAACTAGTAAATATTACTTAATAGTCGACCCAATAGTCGTAATTACGTAATCGCGACTATAAATGCTAGTTGGGACAAGGCATCGTTTGCAAGAAACATGGTGTTGAAGTTGAAAATAATCATAGATTTTAAATGTCCACCCTGTATGGATTATCGAGGTGGCAAAATTTAGTCTGTTATGTGACTGGTATAGCGCCCCAATCACATAATGATATAAATCATGATTATAAAGTGAACTGAACAGATGTCTTGAATGTACTATCCGACATCGTCGGCATCTACATACAAATTTTGGAGTTGAATTTGGTTATTTTATATTATCTTCACGACCTTCAACACTTTTTTACACAACTGCATCCTCTTTTATATTATCGAATGAAATTTTGAGAAGTTTCATCGCCACCTATGTTTTTTCTGAGAAATCACACTTCAATACCTCTTAACGGTGTCACTGGGAGTAAGATTGAGTATTGCACCAGAATATCAAGAATTTTGGTATAGAAATTCAATGAAAATTATTTTTCATCCTCAACTCCACAACCCTGTATCTCGCAGACGAAGCCTACTACGACTTTTCATGAAAAACGACAACTGTCATCATCGCTTCGACAGGAGGCATTGTTTTGCATGGGTGTTGCAGTGGTATTAATTGCGTAAATGAGTGTTGATTACAAGAAATCGACTTCTTCGATTGATTTCCGATTACGCAATGAAAATCCTTGTGATAAATAGTTTTCTCGACTTCATGTCAGCTCAGGAATATCAGCATCGTTATTGTATGAGTTGGTCAGAAAAATCCAGAAGGGCCTACTTGCGCCTCCTTGGATTGCCTTATCTGAAAAATCACGAAATCAATTCGAGATATTGAGCAGAGCAATCGATGCAAATGGAGGATTTGTGTTGAGCATAGCATATGGTTATGGCAGCACTAAACTGAACAGACGATTTTGCCAAATTCTGAACATTTCCCAAAAAACATTAATTCTTCCTCTGTTGAAGTTGTCGATGATTTCAACGCAATATGAATCCATTTTCTAGGATGTGTTTCATCGTATAGAGTGGCAAAATACGTTGAATGTGGCTTGCATAATTTTAAAATCAGAAATGATGTGATGAAAACCTGAGAATGGAAAATTATCGATTTTCAACATCCTGTATGAGGAATATGGAAAATTACAAAACCCTTTCGAGATATTGGCTTGAAAGTTCGAAAAAAATGATTAATAAGAGAATAAAAAAAAATCCCTGAAATACGAGAGCGTTTGAATTCTCTCATTTTTGTAATACTTTTTTCGAAGACTTGGTGTATAATGACAAAAATAACTCCCGACTAGTTTTGAACAAGGAATCTTGAACAGAAAGATGGCATCTTCTCAACACACAAAGAGTTACATCGTGTGAGGAGAACAAAACGGAAAATAACTGTCAAATAATCAAAAAACTAGGGGTCGAGTACACACTTACCCCCATATTTTTTCTGTTCGTGCGCAAATGACTACCTATCTATTTTTCTTCAAGTATTCAATCATTCTCGAGTATTTCTTGTCTCCTATAAAATTCCGATGAAATTATTTGTTTCTAAGATAATTCGAAAAGTACTGGTTATTGTTTGAAGCCTATGCGGCTTACGGTAATCTCATAATGTTCACATATTCCTATTAATTTCGTCGAAATTGGAAGAGGGCCTGACTTTTTACGTACGAAAAGGTAAATATGGAAATACTGGGTGCTCAGAGCAAATTTATCAAAATTATTTTCACAAAAAAAAAAATACTGATAGAAATTCAACACGTCTAAATAATTTGCTCGATATGACCTCCAATTTTTTGAATACACATGCGAGCCCTTTTATTTGAAGAACATCTTAGCCTTTGAAAAATATATGGATTATACATAAAATCTTTCATACATCCCCAGACAATCCTGATCTGCTATTTCTTTCATCAAATAGCTATTAAAATCTAAAAATTCCGAAAATATTTCCGATTTTATTTTCCGTTCGTTCGTGCTCGACATAACATACGGGGGAAGGGGGTTCTCGGAAATATTTTTTGAAAATTCTGCACCCCTCAGAACCGCTCAAACCGATTCCGAAAGAATTTGAATATATTTGCTGTTCTCGAAAAAAATCAAACAATAATCAGAACTTTTCTAATTATCTTCAAAACAAATGATTTTATCGGAATTCCACAAGAGACAAAAAATACTCAAAAATGATATTGAACACTTGAAAAAAAAATGAATAGGCATTTGCGCACGTCCAAAAAAATATGGGGTGAATGTGTATTTGACCCCCAGTATGTCGATTATTCGACAGTTATTTTCTGTTTTGTTTTCCTCACACGATGTAACTCTCTGTGTTGAAGTAATGTACCAATTTTGATATCAATAGCTTATTGAATACGCGAGTAATTAAGAAAAACAGTTTTCAATTTCCAACTTTGACACCCTGTATATCGAATATGAAGGGCTGAAATGAAAAACGGTATTCAGAAAATCATATTGATTTTGTTCGAAAGAATATATGGTAAATGAGTTGACCTCCTTTAGCGGACCCCCTGTATTAAATATTCAGATTTTCGAGGCCTTCTTCTTCTATTTGTTGAAGGGTTCAGAATTTGCAAAACTACCATAAAGCATTTTTTCAAACATTGACTAGCTTATATAGTTCAGGCATAGCTGATGTACCCTCATACGAAATTTGAACGACATTTCTCATATATTGTGTTAGTTATCCAACGGCAAATTTAGATATTGTTGATTTGTTGATTCATCCTGTATCAAAATCTAACGATTTGATATAACCGGCAAAGTAATCAGTCGATGGAGAAACACATCGAATAGTTAGATACAAAGTTTCATCGTTGTGACTTCTATAAAGAGATATCTCTAGGTCAACCAAAAATTATTGAAATTGAAGTTGAAGAATGGTTCATTTTCTTGAGACGCCCTATCACCTCTTGAAGTGCGTCTAACATTACAAAACACTTTGTATATTCGAAACTCCTCCTTAATTTTTTCTGTTGGATATTTTATATACATGGCCTTTCCTTACTACGCCACGAAACTTTAAAAAGTGATTCATTTGGTTGTGTTGAGGAAAAACTTCCTAATTTGAAACCCGTTGACCGGATTTTGAGAACAAAAAATCTATAACTCTTTCGATTCAAATATGAAATAAGCAGATTCTCAAGGCCTCCTTCTTTCATTTATAAGCTTTCCAGAAGTAACCCATACCTTTGAAGACATCCATTTCGATGCTTGGTATCACTATCAGCAATAACATTTCTTGGGAAAATCACGTGAGATCAATTGCTAAAAGTGCATCCCAAAAGCTTGGTTATTTGTTTCGGGCCAGGAGCTATTTCACTCGCCAGTCAGCTGTTTATGATCTATAAGGCACAGATACGACCTGTCCTGGAATACGTACCCTTCCATTATCTGGAGTGGGTGATGCCCCGCTCACAAACTCACTCACTTCTCTGGAACACCGTAGAAAAGTTGGTGATCTGGCTCCATTTTATAGATATCTCTTGAAATAGCAACAATTGTTCCTCCCTTGGCAGTCCCCGCGAGATTACCCCTTCGAGTTGAGGCTTCGCACCCCATCGTGGTCACTTTGGAGACCTGCAGAACATCTCTCTCCGAAGAATCGTTCATCCAACGAACAGCGGGGCTCTGGAACACATTGCCAAGGGAGGTGTTTCCCGAGGCATATGACCTCCAGAAATTCAAGAAAAACACCAATTCCTTCCTTATTTCCTTTGGTTCCCACGATGTTCTCTGAACATTACAGGATTCCTCTTCTCGTGGGAACCAGAAGATGGATAAAAATATTTGGAGAACTACTATATGGCATTTTTATCGATACAGTGACTAGCTCATACAATTCAGGCATAGCTGATGTACCCCCATACGGAGTTATTCAATGCGCGTGCTCCCTCAAGACCTGAATAGCTTCGATTGCTTAATAAATAGATATTCTTAAATGTACTGTTTTTTAGTCCCGAAAACTACCAGCAGACGATCCAGAAAACCTGGCTTGGACCGCAAACCCCGCCAAGCGTACAGTGCCAAGCAACTGGACCGTCTGGAAGGGGAATTCAAAATCGACAAGTACCTGAGCGTGAGCAAACGCATGGAGCTCAGCAAAGCTCTCAACCTCACCGAAGTGCAGATCAAAACTTGGTTCCAGAACAGGTAATACAGGCAAATTGTGCTCAAGATTTATTTTGTGTTCTGCACTACACACTGTTTTACCACTAACCAAACTGATTTTTCACACCTCGACACATGTTTCGCCACAACTATGTTAGCATCTTCAGGAGAAGATTGAAATTAATGCTCTATCCTGGTGGGCTACTTATATACTAAGTATATATTCAACCAACAGTGAATATTTAATAACCGCCAAGTTAATGTTATGCATGGTTTTGTTCACATGTTATATCGATAAACTATACAGAGGGCTTAATAGGATAGGCCCATTATCATTATTCATTACTCTATTACTATCCTCAAATATCTCTGAGCCTCCATTTGCATCTAATTTTCTAACGTAGGTAATTAACTTGCTTTATCAATTTGAGGTTATTAATGTTATGATTGTGATTGAACATATGTTCGGCTACACACGATTTATCTCACCTAACATAAATCAAGTGTTCTTCAAACCTTGTTTTCATAGGACGCCCGGTTTGGCCTATATTTGTTTTATCACAATCATCACAAATAATTTCATAAATTCCTGAATTCTCAAGTGTGTTCACCTTATCTCTTAGATAACCTACTAAATTGCCTAACTTCGACCGATAAATGCTTTCAAAACCTTAGTCATTGAAAACCTCATCAAGTCCACTTGTGTACTTGGAATAGTTCCGATCTATTTCATTCAACTTGTTTCTTGAGTTGCAGAATCTGAATCTGAGGTTTGTTAACAAAGTGTTATGAACAATATTGAAAAAATTCCAAAAACTGGTTAGAAATACAAATATCTGATGTGTTCCAAACTCGAGATCTATCAGCAATTCTCAAAGTAACATCAATTCGAAATGAGAGTGAATGAAATTTCATACAAAATGGACGCGGAATTATACAAAGTCGACAAGTATCTGAGCGTCAGTAAACGCATGGAGCTGAGCAAAGCGCTTAACCTCACCGAAGTGCAGAACAAAACTTGGTTGATTGCTTCCTTCCAACATATTTTTGGGGTGCTGAATTCTAATCTGAGGTTTTTCAGTCGAAATTCGTGACGCAACATGGAAAAAATCCAGAGAAGAAAGGTGGAAAATATCATGTTCTGTCAGATTTTTGCTCATAACTCGTCAGCAAGCGCATGGAGCTGAGCAAAGCGCTAAACCTCACCGAAGTGCAGAACAAAACTTGATTTATTGCTTATTTCAACATCTTTTCTGGGGTGCTAACCGAATTTCGTGACGCAACATTGAAAAAAAAACAGAACAAGAAAGGTGGAAGCAAGTGCATGGAGCTGAAAAAAGTGCTAAAGCTCACCTGAGTGCAGATAAGAACTTGGTGATAGAACAGGTATTTCAGGCCATTGGTGCTCAAAGTTTCGATTTCTTTTATTCAATCCATTTTATTCGAAGTGCTGACATCAGATAACAAAATTTCATGACATAATATTGAAACAAAAGCGAAAAAAAGGTGGAAAATGTTTTGTTTTGTCACATTTTTGCTTATAACTTATCCGCAAACGCATGGAGCTCAGCAAAGCGCTCAATCTCACCAAAGTGCAGATCAAGACTTGGTTTCAGGTGCCCAGGATTCTGATTTTTTCGTGCTCAGAGTTTTGATATCTTTTTGTGCACTCAGTTCTGATTTCTGTCAATCAACATGTTTTTCGACCTACTGGATCCGACTATGACGTTTGCTACAAAATGACATGGTGCAGTATTGAAAAAAATCCAAAAAACTATGTGAAAATTAGGATATTTGGTCAGATTCTCGCTTGAAACTTGAGACCTATCAAAAATTCTTCAAGGGCATCTCTTTTTGATATCCCTCAATCAATTCATGCTTTTTGGGGTGCCGAATATAAATCTGAGGTTTGCTGACGAAATTTCAGGATGCAATATCAAAAAATTTCGAAAACTGGTGAAAAATATATAGTTTTAACAGATTTTTGCTTTGAACTTCAAACAAGATGAAATGAAATTTCGTACAAACTGTAATCGGAATCACCCAAAACCGACAAGCGATGTCTAGATCAGAACTTGGTTCCAGAATAGGTATTTTGTGCTCATGAGGGCCACTGAACGGAAAAATGTGGAGAGGTCAGTCAGCATGTATTCTAAATTTCACGCAACAGTATCAAAATTCAAAAATCGGTGAAGGATATGATGAATACATTTTGTCAGTACGTACGATGAATTGAACTCTTCTCAACCCTGAACGAAATAGAGGAAAGTCTGAGTCTTTGAGTTTCTTAGGCTTCATGTGAGTAGTTTTACTAATATGTTGCGAGAATCTTGAGTTCTCACCAAACAAGACCCCCAAATTTTGTACTGCTTCCCTAAATGATATAGAATTACCATGGTTTATAATATTCGATGAGTATTCTTGCTTGAACTCCTACGGACCATTTCTTCTTCCAAAAATGATTGCATCAGTTGAAGACAGTGATGATTTGAGAATGTTAAAAGATCAATAAGTCATAATTCATAGCAGTTACCGCTTGATCCTCTTCATATAAGGGGAAAGACATATACGACTGCGTATGGTCAGCGGAGTAATAATGTTGTAAACACGGAAAGAAAATAACTGGAAAATTAGATATATAAACAGAGACAAGTATAGGGCCTAATATTGAACTTTGGGGCAAATGGAAGATTTCGATACACTTTCTCGATTTTTCACAGCTTGACTTCTCTTAGATAGATAAGATATAAATAAACTCACAGCTTTGATATCCAAACCACTATAAGATATATAGACTGTTGGCCCGTGACACAGGGTTTATCGATGTTCTAAGTCGGTATGCCATTTAAGGGACCCACTCACTCAGTCCGAGTTAACAATAAGAAGTGCCTCGGAGAGTCGCAACCCAGTCCTTGCCCCGGCCCTGACCTCACCTTTCGGTTGGAAAAAATTTCAAAATTTTGTTTAAGAAGAAGCTCAGCAATGAAGTGCAATGATCTTATCTCACGAGAATTGGGGCGCTTGCCGGTTTGCATACGCCTAGGTCACTCCCCAAGGGCGGCATACGAACCGGAAGTGGGAATTTTTCAGTGTTATAGTCGATGATCGAAGAATGTATGCCCTTTGGCGAAACAATAAATTCGGACCCATTAATCATTTTCCCGACATTTGCATACGATTCCGGAGAGGGGAGCTCGACTTATTCGGACATAATTTGACTGGATATTCTTCAAATAATCGATAATCGAAGAAATGTTCAAATTTTGACCATGGTTAGTGGACCACACAGTATATATGAGATGATGGTTTGCATACAATTTGCACATTCCGTACAGGGTGTTTCACCATAAATATCTCCCATTGTAACTTAGTTGTTTCTGAACCGATTTTAAAATTTCAAAAACCAATTAAAATGATTTTCCTAAGAGATTTTTCATTGTTATCAAAAAATGCACAGGTTGTTTATAACAAATAAACTATTGGGTGGTTGTTGATTTCTTTTTACTGAAACACTATTCTTTACCTCACTATCGAGTTGAGATTATTACGACGAATACAGCTCTACAGCATCTAGCGATATCATTTACACGCAGCACTCTTATAGCAATCATGCGCCAAATTGTCAAATTGTGCCAGAAATATGAATCCCGGGTTTAAAGTTTTTCCTTTTTTTTGCTGAAACAATTTTCATATCTGAACAATGATTTGCTGCAGCAGCCGGGTAGAGTGTAGCACGTAATGATTTAGTAGGCATTCAATAATGTTTTTTCCTTTTGTCGGAGATCCGATATTTAAATATCTCAAAAACCATTAACTTCTGTATAATGTATATTATAGATTTATTCACTTCTTACTGCCTTCCCTACTATTGGTATGAATCGGATTACCAGTAAACCTGTATATAAGTGCAGCGTGTGAATCTTATCGCTAAACTCAACTATACTGGGTTTGATGAAGTTATGTCATTGTCAGTTACATGAAAAATAATGAAGGGGGCTGGGCTCTTGATACTTTTTTTGGGTACGATTTCCATTGGTACCTTGGTGAAGCTCTTTCAGCAGAGGTTGGTGATATCATAATCTCTGAGACTTCAACTGAGAAAGTATCAGGTATATCTTCCGATCATGCCAAGATTCTTCAATAATCAAATTATATACTTACTAACAGGTACTGATGGCAACTCTGGGGAATCATCTTCAGACAGCGAGAGCGAAGATGACTCTGAAGATAATGATAGAGAGGACGACGTATAATTTCTCCTTTGAAATATAATGTTGTTCTCATTTAATATAATTTCATTTTCAAATAATTTTTTTTTATGTGAAAAACAAAAATGTAGATTAAAGTTCAGGACCCTATACTATATACCCAAAACATTCAACAAACTAAATACACATTCTTAATATATTTTTTAGACGCCAGTATTATGATAAGCAGACCCATGAGCCCCAGGAAGAATTCCAATTCGATTTATTGTGAGTTTCGATCATGAGCAATAATCCACCCCTCTTCTCCCTGTACGATCCCTCTTGATCATCTTGCGAGTATCTTGTTGTGAATTTTTTTCATCATCTTTTCAAAGCCCTGTTTTTCAAATTGAAATCACACAAAAAAATTGCTTGGTACTAAACCTCTCACACATGTAATTTTGTTGAGCTGTAAATTTCTGATGGATAAATACAAATATACCTGCAATTTGCGTCTTCGAATATCCTCATCACTACCAGGAAGATAATCTTTGACCCGGTTTCATGTGAAGTGAGATTATGAGACTTCCCGATTATCTAGTTCGCTTTCGGTGCACCTCTGGCCTGCAGTGCGGGGCGCCGCGCCAGACCGAGGCACGCGCGGGTTTGCCCGATTATAACAACGTATGCTCACATTGAATTCGTATGCAAATAGCATCCAGTTATAAAGAATATCCTAGTTTATCGGTCTAGAGATTTGCATACGAACTTAAATCATCGATTATCTGAAAGATGTCTAGTCAATTGATGTTCGAATAAGTCGAGCTCCCCTCTCCGGAATCGTATGCAAATGTCAGGAAACTGATTAATGAATCAGAATTCATTGTTTCGCCAAAGGGCATACATTCTTCGATCATCGACTATAACATTGAAAAATTGACACTTCCGGTTCGTATGCCTCCCTTGGGGAGTGACCTAGGCGTATGCAAACCAGCAAGCGCCCCAATTGTCGTGAGATAAGATCATTGCACTTCATTGCCGAGCTTCTTCTTAAACAAAATTTTGAACTTTTTTCCAACCGGAAGGTGAGGTCAGGGCCGGGGCAAGGACTGGGTTGCGACTCTCCGAGGCACTCCTTCCTGTTAACTTGGACTAAGTGAGTGGGTCCCTTAAATGGCATACCGACTTAGAACATCGATAAACCCTGTGTCGTGGGCCAACAGTCTAATATCATGAGCAGAAGAAAGCACCAGATAACTATATTTCTCACCTTTCTGTCAATGTTGTCTCACGAAATTTTGTTAGCAAACCTCAGATTCAGATGCAGTTCCCCGAAATACAAACCTCAGATTCAGATTCAAAACCTCGAAAGGCGTGTGGAATGAAACAAATTGAAACCACTACATAACTGATGATGAAAATACATTATAACTTCATTGAGCAGCTGAAGACACCTCTACATCTCTGCCTCTACTATTCTCCTTTGAGGGATTCAAAGATGACCTAGATATTCTTTTTCATATACAATCCAATAAATAGCGAGTTACTACGAGTAATCCAGTAATCAACAGACGTTTACATTAATCGATTGTTGTTTGCAACTAGCGTTTCTGCCCGAATGATTCATCGAATAAAAAAATTCGTGACAAGATGTTCAGGAAATTCCATTGAAAATTCCACACCAGTGATGTTCATACAGTTCAATTGGGTTTTTATGACAAATAACCACTGCAATAACGTATGTATTTTAGTAGACATTTTTTTCTCGTGGGTACCCACCAGCGTATGAAATCGGGAGTTTTTTTTATGATGTTCGAATGCCAGAATATTATTCTGACGTCCTAAAATGGCGGGTTTGTGCCCCTTCAATTGGGTAGAAATCATCAATCAATAGGCTAAGAATCAATTGAATTGGGTAGAAATCATCAATCAATAGGCTAAGAATCAATTGATGCCCTAACTGCATCTATTATATAGAATGCCATATCACTACCTGGGCCAGTGCAAGGCGTTATGGAAGACTAACATTCGAAATCTCTGTTACTGAAACGCTTCAACAGAAAGATCAAATTACTTGGACGGTCATACTGACCTTCATCCGAAATCCACGGAGGTTCGAAAAGGAGGATTAGAAGAAGGAATAGTGGATATTATGTGCACATGACGTGTGCAGCAGGGGTCGGCAAAAAGGGCTCTCTGGGGCCTACTTGCTAGGCGACCGCCTCCTTTTTCCCTACTATTACTAGTATATACCAATACCCTTGAGAGATTGATTGACAAAATTATAATTTCCTATCACTTGTAGTATCCCGAGGTCAATATAAAATGGAAGAATATAATAGGTAGAAATCAGGAATCTATTGGTGCCGAAACTGCGACCCAAACTGAATTCATTTATGAACCTGTATGCCAATCAAATGAACAAATAAATTTCAAAGTCATCTGATTTTCAAACACAATCTGGTGTGAAAATTCCTCACCTAATACCACACGAGGTCAAATTATTTTCCGGGAATTTCTTCCCGCTCATGAATATTTCGAAAATTATCCCTCGTCTTCGACTCGAAATAATTCTTAGAATATCCATGCGCTCGAAACAATTTCCGGAAATAATTTGACCTCAAGTGGTGTTACAAGTGATAATAGGATGGCTATTCGAGAAGGGTTTATAGTTTAAGACATGTATCTGAGCAAAAACCGCTAGAGAACTATATTTTTCACCCTATTCTCAATGTTGTGTCACGAAATTTTGTGAGCAAATCACAGATTTACATTCAGTATCCCGAAATACGTATTTTTTCTCTTTCATCTCTTGAAGCGCACGAGGGAAAATTCCTATAATGTTCGTGATACAAAAGTCAAAACTTCCCCGTATCTGAATATTTTTGAGCAAAAACAAAAGTTGAAAGTGCATAGTACAAGATAGTCGCTCGAAATTGTAGAACTCCGCAGATGCTGACACTGGCAAAGTCTCTGTGTCTTTGGCAATATGAACAAACAATGTTTTTTGCGTTTGGAACTATTTCATGAACCAACTTAATCAAATTAATAATCAAATTAGCTCTTAGGCTTCTTCGCCTAACTGATGAGACCCGGAAGGTCGAAAGATCACACATTGCACCGTAAAAATCATTGGGTTGGGGTGAATCCCGAATCCCAGTTTACTGCTTCGGATTCATCTGACAAAAGCAGAAGAACTTTTGGAACTTCGCAAATCTCCACAAATTTTGTGGTGCGTTTGTTCCTTTTGTTCAAATGCAAAAGTCTGAGAATCCAAAAATGCCAAAGTATTACTCGGTTCGACAACCTGTTAAGTTTGTGACTTGTTTCGACTTCAATTCGTCTTCTTCAGTCAGGGAAAGTACCCTGAGAAAATTTGGAATTTTTCAGTTTTAGAAGTTAATCTACAAAATAGTTTTGAGCAAAGACGAAAGTCAAAAGTGCATAGCACAAAAGACAAAAGTCGTTCGAAATTGTAGAAGTCTGCAGATGCCGACACTGGCACAGCCTTTGTGTCTTTGGCAATATGAACAAACATTGTTCTTTGAATCCGAAGCAGTAAACTGGAATTCGGATTTCACCTCAACTCAATGATTCTTAGGGGAATGTGTGAGCTTTTTACCTTCCGAGTCTCCTCAGTTAGGCGAAGAAGCCTAAGAGCTAATTTGATTATTAATTCCTCATAACTGTTGAAAATACATTCAAATTGTATTTATAGAAGAACCAAGTGGAAGAAGCAGTTGACGACGCGACTGAAGATCGCCCAGCGACAAGGGCTGTTTCCACCCCACTATTTCGCCCCTAATGCCGTGCCGCTGTTCAACCCCTACTATTCGCCGTTGGGGTGCGTGTTAGGAGTTGTTCCGGGAGAGGGAGCCAGTGGTTCGTCGGCTGAGTCTGTTATCAGGAGGAACACGTGAAAGTTCCACTTTTGTTCAAAAGTTCACAGGGTGTCAACTAAAAAGTGTCGTAACAGAGAACAGTAGATTTCTCATGAGAAGAGAGAAATGTTTTTGATTTCTGAAATTTTATTCTGGGCCTCCGTTTCCGAAATACCAGGCACCAGAATAATAATAATTTACAGTTTAATGAAACACATTTTACAACACTCGATATAGAGTTAACAATTTGAGAACCAGCACTCAACAACCTGGCATTTAATTGAAAATCCTATTCGATAGTTTTGAGGTGATTCATTTCTAGTTGTTATCGTCAGATTTTCAGACGATTTTTGGAGATTCTAGGAGTTTGTATGTTCTTATTCATGAAACGCCATTTTTCCCGAGAACAGTTCAGAGCATTGCAGCAAAAGTACCCTTTTTGTGTGAAGCATATAGGCGCTTCAAACTGTGCTTAGAAAAGTACAAATTCTTCAGTAGCAGATAAGTTTGGAGGTTGAATCCTCGATTATGAGCCTGTAGATTCAATGAGAATAATTCTTTATTTCCAACTCTGACACCCTTTATCTCGCGAACAAGGCCTTCTATGCTTCTGTTTATGGAAACTTCCTTATTTTTTCCACGTATTACGAAACACCCTGTATACAGTGTGTGCGATATCAACCCGCAAAAGCCTCCTAATTTGGAATCCGTCGACCGATCTTCAAAAACGGAGATTCCATAATATCGATACCATAGTTCAATAGTCGAAAAATAACCATTTCGAGTTGTATACGCTATCTGATTTATCATTTTGTTAGCTTTCGCGTGCTATACTGTACCTACCTAACCTGACCAAGAGATGGTGCTAGTTACTCTATAGAACTGAAGGAAACTTCATTTCCATATAATTCCATACTGTAATATATCTCGATACAATAATCAAGACTTGTTTCAGTCTTGAACTGTGAAATATTCTCAGTAATTCAGAGTTGTTACATTGCATAGCTCGAAATGGTTAATTTCAACACTCAAAACAAACTTATACCTAATACTATGTTATATCATTGTTCCTGTAGTGATTGTAGTTATTGTTCTTACTCATCCAATAATGATGATGATTTTCGATAACAGAACTTCATATTATCAATTATAAAATTCATTCAGATAGTGTAACAAGTCCGACCAACATAATTTTTTACCAAAAGGTTTTTTTCTAAATTTGCTGATTTTAGGAAGTAAATCGGAAACTACTATGGCAGGACTATCATTTCATATTCTTGGAACATAAGCTACAAAATTAAAATCAAATTATCATGAGCTGAATTTTCAATTGCGATTTTCATGAAACTACGATTTTTGAGATTTCACACTATTGAACTATGGTTATGGTATCGATATTGTAGTACTCAACGAGCTCCATTCAAGAATGTTGATAAATTGGAGATATCATTCTCTAGGCCTACTTTTGTTCGTTGAATGGGTCAACATTTCGAAAACTTTAAGACTTTTTTTTCTCGAAACAGTGACTAGCCCCTTCGATTCGAACATAGCTAGAATACCTCCATACATAATTTGACAGCAATATCCCATATAGGGGGTGTTAGTTATTCAATAGCAAAATTCAGAATTTTTGATTTTTCAATTCGCCCTTTATGAAAATCAAAGTTGTCGATATAACTGGTGCGATGAATATTTGATGGAGTTACACATCAAATGATCAGATATGTTCCATCGTTGTAACTTCTATACAGGAAGATCTTTCTGGGCCAACCAAAAATTGATAAAAATTTGGGTTGAGAAATTTTTTATTACGATCCATATATTTTTTCCTGAAAATATAAATGAGAGTAACTTATTCATGAAAATTTTCATTGTTATATCAAATTCTCAGTCTATTTCGTGAAAGCCGGTATCTATATATTCATGATCACATCTAGCATCAGTATATCTCCTTGCAGTATTTTAGAAGTGCTAGTCTGTCTTTCAATGTGTGTAATCTCTGTGTGGTGAAGTATGTGACAAAAAAAGCGAAAATTTCAATCGAATGAGTCACACCATATTGAGATATTGCGTTCAAATTTGATATAGTATTTTCGAAAAAAACAGCCTAGTTATCGTTTTTGAAATTTTCACTTCAACAAACAGAAAGTAGGTCTTGAAAATCTGAATATTATCCAAAATGTGTTGAAATCACAAACACTACCTGTTATGTGACTGAAATGGTGGAAAAATTTCATAATTTTACTCACATACTAACTGAACTGGCAAACGTTGTTCTGCTATATACCTATATATACATGATTCCTAGAGAATATTTATCAGTTAATTATTCATCAACTCACTTCAATTATTTTATTTTCTACTTCTCTATAGTGCGATTTTCCATGAAAGCGTGTTTCATCAGATTTTCAAACTACTATTCATTATCAACTCCTCTTTATTTCGGCATCAGTCCATGAAAGCGTGTTTCATTAGTTTTTTAAATTACTATTCATTCCATAGTCCGCCATATTGGATCCGTCATCTCGAATTTCTAGATTTTGGATGGAGAAATCGTAATCTCTGACTCCGAAAACACCCAGATGACATTTTAAAATGGAATTGGATCATAATATTAGAAACCACATTGGCCACATCGGATCCGCTCTTCGTATTCACCAATTTCGACCAAAGAATCCTGATCTCTGACCCCAAGAACACCCAGAAACCAATTTTGAATAGAATCGGATCATAATAACAAAACTCTATTTTGGATCCGCCATCTTGAATGTTCCAATTATGATAGAAGAATCATAGCCTCTCACCCCGAAAACTCCTAGATATCAATTTTGAATGCAATCAATCCATAGTTACAAAACTCGTTCTCCATATTGGATCCGCCATCTTGAATTTCTCAATCATGACGAAAGAATTATAATCTCCGACCCGAAAACCCTCAGATACCAATTTTGAATAGAATCCGATCATAATTACAAATTCATATTCGTCCGCCATATTGGATCCGCCATCTTAAATCTCCAATCAAAGAAATAGAATAGAATAGATTCTCAGACCTACCAAATGTGCACAAGAATGTTCATAACTATTCCTTCACAAAAAGGAAGCGTCCCAAGGAATTTCAACTAGTGTTTCTTTTTCGAACAAAATTCAATGGTCCTCCATACTTAATCCCAAATGAAATATTGTTTTTTTCTTCGGGTAGAAAACGAACAATAATTTCTCCTTACGGCGCCACTAGAAATCCCATTGGCTAAATGTTAGTATTATCCATGAATTCACCATCAGGATCACACCAATTCTATCGAATTAATATGCTCTATTCCTGTTAAGTGGTTTCCTAGCAATTCAGTTGAACTCTTTATTTTTCATCAACTTTGAAACACTGAAACTTGAGCAGATATCAATCTATGACATACTCCTATAGAAATGTCTAGTACCTTACTAAAATATGCCAAGGAATCACCTCCAATATTTAATTGACATTCATAAAAACCTTGTATATAACACCGCTATATAACTTCACGAAACAAATTAGTGAACACGCTTAGGCTTGGTTAAACTTCAAAACTAGTTCTCACTGTATATTTTTGTATTCGAGACTCTGAAAGCTTCGAGTTCGCTGAACATATATGAACGAGATGGGGTCAGCAATGCTCATTACTAATTACGAATTCAGAAGCAGAACGTCGACATTACTACCTAATGATTTTTCTGAAACATTAATCAGTTCTTGAACTTTCCATGGAAGCACCCTTGTGAATTCTGTAATTATTATAGTGAAATTCCGAGATTCAGTGATAGACACTACTCGCCAGCACTTATAGGTTCACTGTGTATCATTGATGATGATCACATTTAGTCATTGAGTATACCTTTGGAAGCTATTTCGCTCCTGCAAATTTCAGAATGAGTACATATGAAATGTAATACAGGCTAGCTATCGTCAGAAGTGAGTCACACTATATTTACCATTTTTTAGTATATTTGAATGCCATCCCAACCGCTTGTCTTGTTCAAGAACTTGCAGTATCTCATGTGAAAATATACAGTGTGACTCAAAAAATGTACAGCAAGTTTAACAGTTTGGCCATGTTTATTTTCTCTGTAATTTTGAGTTCTCTTGTGAGCGATCTGTCAATTCTCTCTGCAGCAAGATCTCAATCAATTGAATCGATACATAAAACAAAAAGATATGATTGAGTAAAAACTAACACCCTGGTTGTTTTTGAACACCCACTGATATAGGTATGGACGCCTAGAGAGGCCATTGTGTGTATCAATTTTTTGCAGACTTGTCCTTGAATTATTTTTCCAACATTTTCTTGGCAATAACTTATTTTGATTTAGACTTGCGAATATGAAGATGGAATGTATGGAAAGGGTCTCATAAAGCCTATAGGTACGTGAAAAAATATCGTTTATTTTGTGTATTATGTTTATTTATTAACGTTACGAATCTCTTTTATTTTGTACATAAATTATTGTTCGAAAATAGTGTAAATATATTATATGATGAAATATTGAGCTTTTTTTATATGTACCATCTGACTAGGAAACATACTTCCATCTCCTGCCATTATGAAGGAAATTACATGTTTTTATCTACTCACTGCATCGTGAGGAAGCATTTGCTGCCTCATTCAAGGACACCAAACCTGACATTCGACTCCCACGGAAGAAGAAAAATATCACCTTATGTGGTAGGTAAAATACACTCAGTTCCAAAAAAGTGACCCACTTGATATTTGACCTATCTTCTTAAAGAAAAATAGTAGGCCGATTTTTTTTTATTTGTTGGTAGGTAATGCATTTGTCTTTGAAAATGAAATAAAGAGGTAAGAATTTTTCCAAAGCCTCCTTGATGGTGGTGGAATAACTCGAACCATGATTTATTCTCAATTTCTGACTCACCCTGAAAGAGGCTTCTTTTGCGAGCATTTTGTTGTTTTATTCATTGATTTATCTCTGAAATTTTTCGAATTACAGCTTTTTCTGCTGAATCCTTGCAGATCACCAACTCTCTGAATTTATCGAGAAAC